CTCTCTCTCTCTCTCTCTCTCTCTGCGTACCCTATTCTGAAAAGGCAACCCCTTTGCGAGGTGGAGAACCCCCGGCCATCACAGGAGTTTGGGGGCAAGCCTTTGGCCTTATCCTGCTGACGAGAGCTTAGAAGGAAGTAATGCCAATGTCTTCCAAGCGGTGGCTGGGATTTTTAAGTCATCCATAAACTAAGCCATTAGAACGCCGACCAACGGCAGATTACCAGATCGCTAGTTCGGTAAGCCATTACATCAGGTTAATAATTCCACAACTCTGAGAATCTCAGGTTAATGGACAAATAGAGCGGTCCAGCTCGTCGGAGATCCCATTCTTAATCTGCCTTCGCCTCTGCGACCGCCAGAGACGGTGGACCAGAAAGCATTAGTTTGCGCAGAGATCGAGAGAGAGAGAGAGACCGCGCTATATGGCACGGACCATCAGTTGATCAACCAATCGAGAAACCATTAAATTACAACTATCACTACGAATGATAGTTCGTCACTATATAACTCAAGCTGACGGCTGCATCAGGCGCCAACTGGCTGCGTTCGATTGGGAACAAAATATCCTTTACTGTTTAATTAACTTCCTTCGTGTTGATCCGATTCGGCGGGTGGTGGATATTAGGTTTCTAATAAAAAATGACGGAGGTTTCTCCCTTCGGACAAGAACGGAAATGAAGTTGATTTGCTTAGTTCTTCATCTTTCATAAATAAAGGCAAGGGTCATAATTTGAGACTCCCGCATGTCTCCCCACACAGTTATTTAGTGCAAGAGATTAACGCTCGAAGTATTGTTCATCATCTGGACTTCCCTCGTCATCTTCAACCCTAGATGGTTGAATCATTGAATGAAAAGGGTTGAGCCCACATCCTATATCCGGCAATATGCCAATTCCGATAAAGCCGAAATAATGTGGCCTTGGGCTCAGGTTTGAACACCCGTATCAAAATCAGAAATGGAAAGCCTTCCAGCCACCACAAGCATTAACCATACGGCACGTATCAGTCGAAGCTGATCAGAGCATGTGAAAAGTCCAAGCATCACTCACCGTTGTCACTAGAATGGTCTCCCTTGTTCTGTAGCCAGGCCAACGTCTTCTTCAATCCCGTCGCGTCAAAATGTATAAAGTAATCTAAAAACGTACAAAACTTATTTAGACATTAAAATCACATGGTGGCCCTCTGAACAATTGGCCGGCAGAGAGGGAGACTTGATGGAGCGTAGAACATGGTGGCCCTCATGTATGTTCCACATGCCAGTTATCTCTCGCAGGAAGGAAGGGGAGGAGGCGGTGGCGGGCTCACACTCAGTCACAGGCACCGTACATCTTTAAATGGACGGTAGCTCATGTTCGCATCTTAATCACTGTCACTTCATGTCGAGTGTCCCACCACTAAGGGAAAATATGGCGCCTTCTATGCCGAGCGTTTATGGCCCCTTCTATCGAGGAACAGTGTCGTATAGGCCGTTCTCCTGGGACTGTAGACCAGCTAATGCAGATGCCCACAGATTCCTTCTTCCTCGCCTCTGTTAGCCCTAGAACCATGGCAGTTACAAGGACATTTATTCTCTCACAGACACGTCATGTTTGGTGTTTACTTGGAGCTAACCCTCGCAAGATTCTCTTCCCCCGTTAATTCTGTCGAACGCTTCAGGTTTGATTCATCTGGGTTCCCATAATTTCTACCCAGACTCTCTGAGCCCAGGAGCCAGGGGATTTGTTCCTTCTCGATCTCAAAACAGCTTCACGGGTTTTCATTAGTTTCTCATGAAGGTCAACCAGCTGCTATTTAAGGCTGCCTTCTCTGAACCGTCGAACTCGAATCGATCAGCCATGAATTCGCCTTCACGTGACAGGATTCGTGTTTTTTCTTTTCATAATCCGGTCGTGAGGAGGGCCCGGAAAGAAAACTAATTTGGTTCTCATCACCTGGGAGATACTGACGTCATCTCTCTTCTTGCTAGGTCCTACATGACGTGGTAGCTACACTACATTTTCTTGCACGACCCTCTCTCCTCTCTCTCTCTCTCTCTCTCTCCCGGCTCACTTCTACCCTCCTTTTCTCCGCACGCCTGGAAAGGTTTCTTTTCTTTAGCGGTACTATCTGATTTGAAATCCCGGCACTCCTCAGGCAACACCTTGTCTCGTTCTCGGATGACACAACCGATTCCCCCCCCCCTCTCTCTCTCTCTCTCTCTCTCTCTCTCTCTATGTATCTATCAATGTATCTATCTTATTTCTCTCTCTCCCCGTCCGTCACTCGCCAGCTCCTACGGCAGGGTCGGAAGCTGTCGGCATGCGGATGGTGACGGCTGTCCGGCCTCGTGTTCCTCCTCTTCACTCATTCCCCGCAGCCTCCTCCACATCAATCTTCAGTGATTATGCTCTAGGGAGCACCTCCCAGCAGCAAGTGGCGGGACTCTGCACAGAGAGAGAGAGAGAGAGAGAGAGATAGAGATTCGCAGACAAAAGGCACCGCCATGCCGCCACCTTCGTCCAGAATAGACCCCCCTCCGCCCCCTCTAGTCCACCCTAGTTCCGCATCATGGGACATCCTAGAGAAAGAACCTCACACGCCAATCAACCTCCACGGGTTTCACACATTCCTTCGCTCGTTAACGGGCGGATCTTGACCAGCATAGAGCTATGAATTCTAGCGCCGTCGAGGGGAAAACCAGCCGTCTCCATCGTCTCAGGTTCACTCCTAATATTAATCAACGCATCCGTCGCCATGGATTTACTTTTTATAGTAACTCATCCTGGGACTAAAATGTCGGCCTGTGCACCTGCTCGGGCGGGGCCGGGGCTTTAAGAGTGCATCCCCGAAAAGGAATATTCTTTGTAATTTGCCCGTCCCCGCTGACTGCATAGTTTCTGAAAATATGCCTTCAGATTTTAATAAAACGGCGCGGGATTTATAGTTTGATCTCTGCATCCGGAGGAGATCCTCCTCGGGAGGAGGCCTGGGAGGACGTCGATGGATGACGATGACGATGGCTACACGTGCAGCGCCGGAGAACAGGCCGTGGTGCACTTTCTTCTTCCCAGCGCCAGCGAGAGACGGATGAGAGAAAGAGAGGGTAGAGAGATAGTGTGTGTGTGTGTGTGTGTGTGTGTGTGTGTGTGAGAGAGAGAGAGAGAGAGAGGATGAAGCATTCTCCGGCGAGATCAACGTCGCAGACTCCATCCTTCTGTGGATTACCCTGAATAAGAGAGTGGGAACATGACGACCAGAAACGGAGGAGAGAAGGGTGAAGCGAAGAGATTAGATTGAGAGGGAAGAGAGGGGGGGGGAGAGAGAGGGAGAGGGAGAGGGGACTCTGCGGCTATTTTGGAGTTCCCGGCGCCTACCCTTCAGTGGATTATGCCGAATACAATACCGGGAACATGACGACCAGAAACAGAGTGGAGAGATCGAGGAACAAAGCGCGCGCGCGCGAGAGAGAGAGAGAGAGAGAGAGAGAGAGAGAGGAGAGAGGAAAACCCTGCAGGAGGTACTTGTTCTGGCTGAGTTTTCTTTCTATTTTAAGATTGGCTCAGGATAAGATCGAACCAGGCGGCAAACAGCCTGATCTTTGCCTCCGGATTAGGCCGGCGGCTATCGATTGGATCTACTCCGTGTGCCCATTTTTTTGTATAGCCCCCCTAAACTCCTGCATTCTTGCGTTCAGGCACCCAATCCGTCCCTTTTTCCTCTTGCAGTCCGAGGAACAGGATTAAAAGTCCACTATCACCTGGTCAGCCCCCGTCGACGTCATCGGGGCATCTCGTCAAATCTGGACAATTCTCAATAAAGCCCTTGAGAGAGAAAGTCACGTGCTGCACGAAAGCCCGCCGACGGCGCCGACCGCGAGCATCCGGCTCTCTCTCTCACTCTCTCTCTGTACCAGAACGTTGACTTGACGGCCTGCCCCACAAAATAAAGGAACGGCCAAGATCTAACCTCCCCCGGGGCGCCGCCGCAACGGTCCGAATTCGGCCGGGTCGGCGGCGCTCGGCGAGGACATCCTCCTTTCACGGGTGGCGGCGGCGGCTTTCTTTTCCCAGCTGGAAATCCCAAGAATAGCGACAACTCCCTGCTTCCGTGTAACACCCGGCGCCGACCGTCGTCGCAACTGGCGGCGGTAACGTCATCGCCGCCGCCGCCGCTGTCGCTCCCCTCAGAATGGAGGCAAGCAAATGAGGAACATCCGTGAGCGTGACGGATCCGGCGGGCAGGGGTACACGTTTCAAAATGTGGTGCATATAGACGAAGGATTGTAAATTCATAAACTTTACCGGATTTTTTCATAAAACGTCCCCGTAGGAGTAGCTTCCGCCAAGCTGGGGTGGGGCCCATGCACTGGGACCATCCCGGTCCACTACATGGCCCACGCTCTTCGGTGGGACCCGCGAGCCGCTACGTTTAGCGAATGAAACAACTTGACTCAGAGGCGGGGCCCAATTTGATTAGCAGTCTGGCGGCATCTCATAGGTCCACGTACCCTCCGTGGACAATAATTGTAGATATGCCACGCTGAATTCCGGGCTGGGCAGGGTCTTTCTCGAATAATGGTGGTTGGTAGTCAGATAACAACTAATTAATATATTTGGGGGGTAAGGGGAAGAAAAAGAAAAAAAAACTAATCCAATGACCAGAGGAGGGAGGGGGGAGGAAGTCTCCGCGGAGGCCATAATAGTTATTTTCCAAAGTTTAGAGGTTTTTTGAAACTCTTGAAGCCTATAAAGTGGCACCTCTCCGCCACCGTGTAGACACGCTTCGCCGTGACCGGGTCAAACTTCGTCGGCGGCCAGGGAAGCAACCGCCGCCTCCGCCTGCCCCCACCACCACCACCACCACCGCCATCACTTCCGCCTCCTTCTCTCCTCCATCTCCCCGAGGAAGAGGAGGAAGGTCAGCAGAAGGTTTCCCCTTTTCCCTCTCTCAGTCAATCTCCATTCCTGCGGCTACTTATTCCGGCAGTGCGGGAGTGGCCACCGGCGACAGCGGCGGAGATGGGATTTCCGGTGGGATATTCCGAGTTTCTGCTCCCGAAGGTGTGCCTACACCTTGTCTTCCTGCTGGGGCACATCCGGCGACTGATCTCCTGGATCTTCGAGGCCCTGGGGCTGGGTGATCTCCTTCTTGACGCGGAGATCTCTCCGTCAGCGCGGGCGGCGGCGAGGGATTACTCCGCCGCGGCCGCCTCGGAGCGCCACCGCGGCCGGCAGGGCCACGGCGGGGGGGAGATCCAGTCGGCGGCAGCGGCGGCGCTGATTCAGGAGATGCTGCCTGTTGCACGGGTGGAGGAGCTGAGGGCGGAGGGTTGGGACATCCCCGAGGACTGCGCAGTGTGCTTACAGGAGTTCGCCGCCGGCGACGAGGCCCGTCGGCCGGGGAACTGCCGCCATGTCTTCCACCGGTGCTGCCTCGACCGGTGGACGGAGCACGACCAGAGGACCTGCCCTCTCTGCAGGACGCCGCTCGTCCCCGAGGAGCTGCAGGAGGCCTTCGACGGCCGAATCTGGGCCGCCGCCGGCGAGGTTCCTCCCTTCGTCCACTACTACGGTGACGGCGAGGGGTTCGAGTACGACTCCGCCGCTGTCGACCTGTTCCGCCAGTACTCGCCGTCCCCCTTGGCGTCGGCGGCGGCGGCGGCGGCGGCGGCTTCCTCGTAGCAGCTTTCCTCGTCTCCGGCGGCGGCCGTGACGGTCACAACTGTACATAGAGATCTCGCGTTTGCCTCGGAAATCCGAGCGTGGAATAGAGAGAGGAGAAGAAGAAGAAGATCACACCTCCGAATCCTTGCAGCCTCTCGTCGGCCCTGTTCTTTCAAGAATTTCCCCCACTGTCCATCGTTGGATCGTCATATTCTCATTCTTTCATTCGTTGCCTCTCCATCCACTCTGCCCTGTTCGTCTCCGATCCATCGATCGACGCTCCTTCCTCCCCCCGCTCGTTCAGTCGCTTCCGGATTGATTGACTGGTTGATAGATAGATAGATTGATTCATTGATTGATTTGAGATTGGAGCCGCAAGAAAGGGGATCCGCCATTGGAGGAGCCGTCCGATCCGCAGGGTACCATATAGCCAGTGTGCTCCGTCGTCCTCTCCCCAGACCAAGCTGAGCCGCTCCAGACTTACGCCGGCCACCCTCACTCCATATCCCAGAGGGAGATGGAGTGAGGGTTCTCTGCAATCCTCAAAACACCAGAGATCATGCTGATGCCCTAGGAGCTCGGGAAGAAGAAGAAGACGACCGCAATCCCCTTCTCTCTCCGCCGCCCTTGATGATCTCCCCCACTTCTCTCTCTCCCTCTCTTGCAGACCCAACGTTATGGGCCTCGCCTTGGTAGCCATTTTGGGCCTCCCAAAGCCGGCCCGTCCTATTTCTATTCAAATATGAACCACAAACACCACTCTCTCTCTCTCTCTCTCTCTCTCTCTCTCTCCATCTCTATCCGCCACTGGGGAGTAGGGAGGGAGTCGGTGCACCGATGAGTGGCCGCCATTAATGGCGGAAGGTTCAGGACTGAACCAACCAGAGTCTATGCAATCACACTCAGAGACAACACGGGATGGAAAGAAACTCTATAAGATCTTGTTCTATGGAAAATTATATATATATGATGAGGATCATGAATAATGTAGGGAGGGAGGGAGAGAATTCGCCCAGCTGAAAACGGGCTCAGGTGAAATATGATTAGGTGATATCTATCTTACCATAAAAGAGGATGAGGGAACTAAGCTAGCTGCTAAAGGCAAAACTCGCCGGCGATGGTGAGAGGACGGCTACTTCTTTACAGCAATGGTGAGTGAACATTCAGACGCCCTCCTCCTCCTTTACCATAAAAGAGGGGGTGAGGATCTGTTGGGGGGAGGGGGGGAAGCAGATGAGAGTCTTCTTCTTCTTCTTCTTCTTCTTTCTCACAAGAACCAGGAAAGCTGGATTTTCAAGAATGCCTTCTCCTCCGGGGCTTATCTCCGCCGCCGCCGCCGCTATCGCATTCCCGGAGGCTGTAGGACTTGAAGCCCATCTTATCCTTGTCGTCCCGGCCATTGTACCTGAAGTGAGCCATCTCCGCCTTTGCCGTACTGCCGCGGGTGGCGAAGCCCCTGGGTGCCTCCCTCTCGGGGAAATTCGGGCCACCATCCTTGGCATGGCTGCCGGGCCGCCGGAAATCTTCCTCGGCCTCATACCGCGCACGCTTCGCGTCGCCGGCAATGTCGTAACGTCTGGCCGAGGGGTGGATTTCGTACCTGCCGTCGCCAGCCTGCCTCCGGTCGCCGCCGCCTCCACCGCCAAAGGCAGGGAACCTGTCGGGCTCGATCGGCCGGTAGAATTCATCAGGCTTCAACCCGTCCTGAGAGTCCACAAGGTTGAACCTGGTATGTCTTCGAGAGAGCAGCTTCTTCGGCGGGGACTGGTTCCTCCCTGGGTACCTCCGGTGGTCCCCGTCCGGGAAGCGCTGCTCCGCCGGGCCCTTCCTCTCGTCCACCCACCGGGACGCCCGCAAAGGAGGAGAGGCGCGAACCCTCGGGGATGGAGCAAAGCCGCCCGTGCGCTCCCCAAAGCTGAGGCGGACCCCATGGGGAGACCGTGCCCTGCCGACTCTGAAGTCGGGTGGGGATCGCGACCGCCGCTGCCGCACACCGTTGCTGATCGCACCGCTCCGCCGTCGAGGAGAAGCCCAGCCATGCGGGGAATGGGACCTGGAGCGCGACTGGGATCTTGTATGGGACCTTGACAGCTGTACCGGCGGTGGCGGCCTTGCCGGAGGCGAGAAGCTTCTGTCCCTCCGGGAGAAGGGGGGGTGCTGCGCCACCAGGGAGGGCCCAACTCCGTCGTCGGGGATGAAACCATATCTGTCTCTGTTCCCCTTGCCGACAATCTTCGGTCGGTACTTGCTGGGCCGGCCGAGGCCGATGCTCATCTCTCTCGGAGGTCCCAGATCCAATTCATCTCTCTCAGCCAGCGGTGACCCCCTGCACCTCAGCGCATGGCAGCCACTCGGAGAGGAAGAATTTGCGGATCGCTGAGGAGGAAGAACCGACGGCCCTGCACTGCTGGCCTCCAAGACCGTCCCATCAGGGGCAACCACAAAGCCATTGCTCTCCACCTTGGCGATAGACACTGCCGCAGCATCCTTTGACCCAGGAAGCGTGAAGCCCGAATGGTTGAAGTAACCGGAAGAATCCTGGCGGTCGGGACCCTGGCGGCGGGACGACTCCACCCACCGGTCTCCTTTCCCCCTGCAGCGCATGCGCACAGATGATCCATCCCTTCTGATCGATCGGCCCAGCTCGGCACCTTGCTCAATGCCGTGACGCATGTTATCAGAATGGTCTGGATTCCTGGATCCCAATCAACATCACGGAACAACAGTTAGCAGGGAGTGAGAATCGACGAACATCAGTCAGCGCACAGGAGCGAGAAGAACGCTGGAATGTTACCTGGTTCCCTGGAAGTATGCTCTATCTTTCCTCAGCGGCATATCAGGCATCTTGTGCCTTCCAACCTGGGACACTAGCTCCCTTCTGAATGTAGATCCAGCCATCCTTGCAGAATCCTCGGCGCTGATCCCTCTCGAGGGAATATCACTGAAACTCCCCTCGGAGGCATCGACCCTCGAATCAGCCACTGCTGCCCCATCTCCAGAGCTTCTGCGGCCTCCAGGCAGCCTGTCCCAACCGGATGCTTTCACCCTGAAACTTGCAGAACGAATCCATCTTGCACCGTCACCTGCCACCACAAATTCCTTCTTCTCCATAACCTTTTCGTTGGGCAGACCAGCGGCATCCGATGCATCCCTCGTACTCTTTTCCCATTTATTGATCACATATCTCCTGGTGGAGTGTCCTACACTCGGGCTCTTCTTCACTACACTGGCCATCCTCTTGTATGACGTTTCAATGTCGGAATCAGTCGATGCTGATGATGAAACGTTTCTGTGTTCAGCCATCTGCTCGCCCAGATTGGGCTCTTCTGGGGGATGTGCGGCTTCCACTCGCCCTCCACTGTCGCCATCGAAGCTTTCATCAACCTGGGAAGGAATGTTTGATGCAGGATAGTCAGGAACAGATTCAAAATTGTTGGTTTCTCTATTGTCCGACCCATAGTCCACATGCTCAGCTTCACCGTCATCACACCCATCTGTTTCCCAGCCATGCACAGATGACTCTCTGAATTCGCCATCCTCATACTGAGATTCATCGTCGGCCACCTGCTCAACCTTTTCAATCTCACCCACCTGTTCATGTTGGGAAACATCTGAATAAGATTCACTATCTGAATGACCATCCCGAGCAATTTCCCCAGGATTGTCTCCAAGATTGCCCCCAGATCCTTTATCCATGTCATCGGGTGCATCCATTGGCGGAGGCCCGATAACAGTATTTGGTGCTGTGGAATCCTTGGAGTCAACATAGGTGGGATGATCTGGTTGCACAGCATCTTGATCTTCATAAGTTAAAATAATACTAGCATCTTTCAATCGGGGTTCTAAATTTGCCCGTTCATTCTCAGCTATGCATCCACCCAAAGTTTCTTCGCGATTAGAAAAACCACACGGTGCAAGAACAAAAGATTCTGATCTGCAAGCATCACTTCGAGATTCTGTGGGCTGATCGACAGTCTCAGATTTCACCTCACTTGGGGCTTCCATTTGTTCTGCATCACCGGGTGTCTTTTCTTCGTCTGTAGCCATCTTACTCTGGTCTAAATTGTTCATAATATCAGAATCCTTTGGAAAAGAAGGTACAACATCACCACCATCAGCTCTGCCAGCATCTTGACCGGGGTCTCCTACCATCTCATCAGCTTTCATAGTTTCATAAGTTCGCACATCAACCGAACCACATTCATCTGAAGACTCACAAAAGTCAACACCAGATCCTGTAGATGCCTTCTCTTTAAAGATCGTTTCAATAGATATGACCACTGAGGTAGGCTGTTGTTCAGTCATGCATGGGAGATGCGCACCATCAGTACCTCCATTGGCATGCAAATTTGTCTGGCTTTCAGTTAGAGAATGTAAACCTAGGTTGTTTGGGTCCGCCTTTTCTTCCTCGGAAGCACAAACATCTGCCAAGACAGAATCCCTCATAGGATTGGGAGGAAATTCAGGTAGAGGACACTCACCACTAGGCCCAATATAACTTGAGATATTTGCCTTTTCAGCAGTTTCTGGCAAAGGAACAGTAGCACAGCTCTTTGGACGTTCTAGCACTAGACCATCGTGGCTATTTGAAATACTGCACGGAGAATCAGATTTTTCTACTTTATCGCTTTCATATTTACATACCTCTGCCTTATCCATGTTTTTCTCTAAAGTTTGGGAGCAACTTTCCATGGCCTTTTCCTCGCGAGATTCCTGCTTTGGTACCTTTTCTTCACTGCTAGCATTAGATGCAGCTGGTTGAGAGTCTGTCAAGGCAGGTCTGAAAGGGCTCTCCCAAGCTTCCATTACAGTATTGAGGTCCCAATGTAGCCTCTCATCCCGTGATGATCCCGTCCCACCTGAACTTCCATTAACATTGTGGCTAGGTGCAATAAACGGAGAACTCAAAGAATCCTCCATTAAATGAGAAGTGCTCTTGTTATTAGCTGCATCACACCCCTGGGGGCTGAACTTGCCAGCCTCAACCAAATGTGTGTTCATCTCACCATCCAAAACGTCTGAAACACTGAACGTTTTCCCTTCAATTAATTTATTCTCAGACCCAATCTGTAGTGAAGAACTGTCTCTCTTGAGCTGACATTGTTTGGAATCTAGGCTTTCAGTGCTCAGGCCATCATCAGCAGAACTACTGTCGCATGCAGCAGCAGCAAGGATAGAAATACCAGAGAAATCTACACTTTCGCCAGACTCTTCTTCTACATCATTTAAATTAACCTTTCTATCAGCAATAATTATGTCCCCAGCTATTCCTGATTTGTAGTTCTTCAGTGAGCCGTGTCTTGTATTTGGCTCCTGCCCAGTTCCACTTTGGCGTGAAACAGCCTCCTCTTTGACAAGTGGAGTGGAAGGTGGGGGTGATGGAGACCGAAAAAGAAATCTCCTTTTCTTGATAGGAACGCTTTCAATGGCGTCACCAAATCGCTGTCCAAGGATGGCTACGCCAACCTGCAAATATAAGATCACATAAGATATGCTATTTCTATGAAAATAATAACCGCATAAAATAAGGATCCTCTCAAGATTAAAGTAAGAAAAAAACCTTTTCAGATTCAGAGACTGGCATCGCCCTTGACCTCTTTGGCTCCTTGATGAGATCTTCCCTCTCTGCTCGACCCTTTTCTAAGGGTTTTCTTTCTATGATACTAGTAAATGAAGTTCTGGCTCGCCTTACAGCCCTAGGTTTACCCTTCGAAGCTGTCCTCCAGTTCAACTGAGGATCAATAACTCTAGAGACCTCTAAATCTAAGTTGCCAAGCATATTCCCATTAACCACTGGTTTGCCGCCACAGATCTTGCATGAACTTGAAACTTCTTGATGCTTTGGAATGTCCAGTTTAGAGGCTGAAACCCCAGTGCAACCACACAGATGATTCTGTGAGACGAAAAATGGAATAAGTCAGCTAACATCTAGATGTGCAACTATCGCCATTAAAAAACTACACAGGCCTAACCAACTTAAATTATTTGTCCTTGAGGGAAACATCTTAAACGATATAACAAATTATAACATAGGCTCATCAATAACGATCAACGTGTGATAATACCCTCCAACACTCTGATGAGAGCCGTCAAAAACTCAAGGACAAATCAAATAGGAAAAAAAAATTAAAAAAAATCGACCAACCATTAGCATGGAGCCTTCATGTCTACTGGTCCATAGGATAGAGAAACCAGCTATTTCCTAATCACCCTCCGGAAGTAAAAATCACCAACCAATATCACCTGCAAAACAACAAGTACAACATCAATTCCTTCATCACTGCTCAAAGCCCACAACATCTTTGCAGCCTAAAGGAAGAAATCAAGTCAGTCTGAAAAAGCTGGCAACAAACTGCCAGCATTTGCCACCAATGGCTATTACCTTGGGGCAGATTCTGTTAACGAGCCTAACAAGCAGCTCTTCTTTCTTGGATGACATTGCAAATTGAAACCACAAAATGAATACTCAAATAGGATGAAGATTCCTCCAACCATAAGAGAGCAGTCATTGGAGAAAACTTCAACGAAAAGCGTGGTGAAAAAGCAGGACCGAGCCCCTTTATTGGGAGGGGGACAGCCCATATGGGAAGACAAGGCAAGGGTTCCAGTTCAACGCCTCCCCATCTCATGGCCCAAGTGCCCTTCGACTTTGCATCTTGCACAACAAACTACAAACAGCATGCCATCACAGACTTGAAAACAGAGTTCCGAAAATTGAAAATCATCTGACAATCAAAGTGGCCACCACAAGGTCTAAAACCATGGCCACAGTAATTCAAAATTTCCTTATCCACAGCTCTTCCCGGTAACAACTTTTGGAAAGGATGCACCAGCAAGCTAATGTTCAATAGAGTGCAATCAGAAAGAAAAGCAAAATTGGATGACCGACGTAGGTCTACAGGTAAACATGCTTTCTGGATGGCTGAACTGGTCCACAAGCCAATCTGCTTTATCCGTGGCTGAACTAGGTCCACAAGCCAACCTGCTTTCTGGATGGGCGAACAAGGGCCAGAAATTAACCTGTTTTCTGAATGACTGGACTAGGACCCGAAGTTCACCTGCTTTTCCTGAGTCTAGCATTTGGGTAGCCAAGTCACCGTCTTCCTCAAGGATATATCAGAGGAAGCTGCAGCACTTTCACAGCAGCATAACGAAGAGCTGATTCAGAGTATTTAGGATCCAAAATAAAGAAGGGCGATGGGCAGATTCAGGCTCCCTATAGGCATCCAAGTAAGAAAGCCATGAACTATAAATTTGAATCGCCTGCTACGAAAATTAGATTCAGGCTACTTCTTCACCACACGCGAAACTGATGACAAGATGTAATATCCATGAGGGCACCGTCTCTTCTCAGACGAGCAGATGAGCCTTAAACATGACTAAGCACCAAAATCGACAGATGCAGATCCACTCATCGAATAGAAACGTACGAGCCAAGAATACGGACTGCAAGCCCTGGAAGTTAATTGTGAACAAAAATCCAGGATGCAGATGACTTCACTTCCTTGATCGTGAGTAAATCAGATCACAGAGAAGGCCAAACCGTGGACAGACGTAGACCAAGATCCAAAGAGAAGACAACTCCATCTGTGGAGGATCCTTTTATTTTTTACACGGCCTCTTGTGGTTCTTCCAATGGGATCTGGAAACCCTAGCCAAGGGCATGGCAGAAAACTAGAGAATCCTAGCTGCGGTGCCATAGCATCGGTAAGATCCTGTCAACCTTCCTCACGAAATATAACACCTGAATCCACCGTCCAGTTCTGCTTCTTTCTCACACCTTGGCCTTCCGGCTCCAACAGACCGTCCACCTGTTCCTGATCAGGATCTAGACCGCATCCAGGAGAGAAAAATTGGGGGATCCGGCAAGGCGACGGAACCTGTAGAACCCCTGCCCTGTATCCCATGGCTGCCGCGCCACCCCTCTGACGGATAGATCCCGAAGAAAAACAACCAAAAAACGGAGAACAAATCAAGAGCTAGGTTTTTCAGTACCTGTATATAAATCCCGTAGTCGCCCTTTCGTCGAAGAACACCCTCCAATCCCCCAAAGAGGGGTGGGCACAAAACAACAACACAACGGGGACAACTGGCGGCACCACCGAAAACGAATCAACGCCCCCGAATCTCACAAGACCTGCACAATAGAGCGCCTAGGACGCGGCGGTCTCCGCCCTGCGATATATATATATAAGTATCCACTGCCCTGACGTTCCACCCCTGAAAAGCCTCCCACAGATCCTCCTGTTTTGCCAGACGTCCCTCCTGCTGCTGCTCCTGCGGCAGCGGCGGCGGCGGCGGCTGTGGGTCGAAAGGCTCGCTCTGTCGTCTCACTCCTCGCCGCCTCCGTCCTGGTCTTCTTCACACGCACGAAGATCCTCCTCCGATCTTTCTCCTCCTCCCGCACGGCGATCCCCTTCCCTTCTTCAAGCCGTCCTCTACTTTTCCTCTTCCTCCTTCCTCCTCCCCCAGGCGGTCGCCTCTTCCGGCCGCTCCACCGTCCTCCTGGTTCCCACGGGCCACATACTCCTTTCCTCTCCACCTCTCTAAACGTATTTATTCCCCATCCGATCTACTTTACCCCTCAAACTTGTTTGAATTACTGATGTACCAGTCCAATGGGACCCACTTGAATAGCTGGATCCTACGCCAACGTACCGGAATCATGTCCGTTGATTTACTCACCCGATGGTCGTCATCGTCCATCCGATGATGCTCGTCCAGCCCGATAAGGATCCGAATTAGTTGACCCTCAGCCGCGCGTAAAGAGCGCCCGCTTTCCATAACTCCGCCATAAAGTCGGGCTTCTCTTGACCTTGTCATTGAATAGCCAATAGGGGGGGAGAGAACTATGGGTCCCACTCTCGGACATCTCAACCGTCCGATTGACTGCGAATCCAGTGGGGCTGCAGAGGAAGCGACGGGGAGGCATCCAAACCGTTCATGTCGATCGTGAGCCGACCTGTTTTCTCGAGATGTGCTCCGTGATGAAAGACCGTCGGATCTGTCAGGGTTTGACTGACAATGGACGGGCGGAGGAGATCTCTCCTGGATTTGCGATCTACGAATGGGCGAGGAGGTGGGGCGGCTTGCCCTTTCCCGATAAAACGAACCAATGACGATAAATTCCCGTCACGTTTATCTCGCGATATTTTGTCAACTCGTTTTTCTAATTTTATTCGTTAAAATTACCGATTACCCATTACCCCTTCTCTTTAACAACACGCTGAAAGTGCTTATTTATTTATTTATCTCATTTTATCTGCAATATAACTATTTAAAAATTCAATGTATTTAGCCGGCACATGAATCTGAAACTGGGTTGACCCAACACAGAGTCAACCCATAAATTTCGAAATATGGGCCTTAAACCAGGCCAAAAACCAAAACTGAAAACCCCCCCCCTTTGGGCTAAGATTAACCGAAGCCCAGTATTCCTCTCTCTCCCTATCTCTGGGGTTGTGGAGGGTATTTTGGGGAATATGAAAAAAGTGATACAAGTATCGGAGAGAGGGTATGCGAGAGAAGTGCATATTTTAATGGGGGGTGATGAGTTGTGGTTGGTCAGCACGGCAAGGAAGCGGCTGTGGAACCCGTCGGAGGCTCCAATGAATGGCTGAGGAGGTCGAAGCGTGTGAACGGAATCAAAGGGCCTGCTAATATAAATACATTTTATCTTGTATATAATTATTTGTATGCATATATATGGAGAAAGAAGAGAGAGAGAGAGAAAGCGAGAGGTATATGATGACGAGAGGAGGAGAGAGAATGGGGGGTTAGAGAAATGGAGGGGGAGAAATTGGGAGATAGATGAGGAATAGAGATAGACGGACGGGGGATTGGAGGGGGAGAGAGAAAGACGAAAGAGAGAATGAATGAATGATAGAGAGAGAGAGAGGGAGGATTGTTGTTGAGAGAGGAATAACGAAGTATAGAAAGGGAGAGAGCGAGTGAATGAGGAGAGAGAGAGAGAGAGAGAGTAAGAGAACGAATTAGATAAACATTGTGTGTGAGTGTGTGTGTGTGAGAGAGAGAGAGAGATAGACATAGGATAGATGGCGAGATAAATAATAAAGGAAATGGAGAAAGAAAGAACGAGATTGAGAGAGAGAGAGAGAGAGAGAGACAGACAGACAGACAGAAATATGATAGTCTAACAGAAAGAGAGAGGAAGAGAAAGATGATAGAGTCTAACAGAAAGAGAGAGGAAGAGAGAGCGAGAGAAAGAGAGAGAGAGAGAGAGAGAGGAGATGACCTGAAGAACTAAAAAATGACAGGTAGATCACCAAAGGTGTAGGTGGAGCATCAGCACATCACTTTGTCAGGGAGAATGGGTTGACCTTTCCCCGCCACCACCAATCCAGGCTGGCACAAGAATCTCTCCATCTCTCCCTGCCCCTCTCTTCCCTGTCCATCTTTCCCCTCCGTCTACCTTGATTTCGGCTGCTTTTCGCTGGAAGAGAGATTCTTCCTCCGTCACTCTTCTTCTCTTGTTAAGCCTATTCTTCCATCTGTGACCCGAGAGGTAGAGAGAGAGAGACCCAGCTGGGATGCAGACCGAAGCCGTGATGAACGTAATTGAGGCTCTTGGTTTACCTAACCCATTAAAATAAAATCTAATTAGCATGCATTATTCTATTAATAAGGCCTTAAATTTCATAGAAATAAAAAAGTAATTTCCAATGTTATCAATCTTGAGGATTATTCATGAATGAGAATGTACGTTGCTTGAGGAACACGTTAAGAGAAGCCCATCTCGAGATCTATGTGAACGTATGCCTTGGTAGTCACTATTTTTTTTCTATTGAGTTCTATGGAAAGGATACTAAATTATATCTTCGAGTTTTTTATGGCAAAAATTGTGTTATTTGGCTTAAATATCCCCACAAAAACCGCCAGAATTATAGAAAAACCCTTTTTTTCACTTGGCCTGTTGGGTCCTTGCAAATTAGATATCATTGAGGTTCCATTAGATATTATAATGGAGTTGGATATAATTGAAGCTGGTTGATATATAATTCGAAAAATAAATGGACTAGATTTTCTCACATTAGTTGTCTAGGCATTTTTCTCCAAAAACCCCAAAATTTTGTACCCATCTCTCTCTCTCTCTCTCTCTCTCTCTCTCTCTCTCTCTCTCTCTCTCTCTCTCTCTCTCTCTCCTTATTTGTATGTTTGTCTTTCTATTTGTCTATCTATCTCTCCCCCCTTTATGTCTATTAAAAATATTTTTACCAAAATAAAATAAAATAGAAATATATGTATAACTATATAAATGGATATCTCAAGTTTTATTGAATATTATGTGTACAATAGAAATTGAAAGTAGGTGATAAATATTATGTGTATAACATTGTGTAGGCATGAAAAGACCTAGGCAAAAACAGGAATAGATTTATAACTGAAGTATTTACAACGTTCAAACACTAAATAAACTTAAATTTTCATTTTATGTATTTTTAATACATGTATGAAATATTATATACATTTCTTATATTTTCATAATGATATCTTAACCCATTTAAACTTAAAAATTATTTTAAAACAACTCAAATGTTGAATATTATTATAACATATTTTTATCCATATACCATAAAAAAAACATTTTTTTGACCTTTTAAACTTGTATAAATAAAATATTATTGATATTAATTCGTAGATATCAAGTGCCCATGTTAAAATAAGTTTATGACAAAAATCATACCAAAGATATTAATGCTTCTGATTATTTTTTGTGTTGGCTCTATAAATTTTCCAATAAGATTAAAATTTAATATGTGTCCACTAGTTAGTTATACCAAAAATTGTGCTATTCATCTTTGTGGTTTCCATATTTTCATGAATAATTAGTTAAACCAAGTTCAAGATTATTCATCCTTTTTCTGAAAAATATTTAAATACCTTAAAAGTAATGAATTTATGTCGCCATTTGGGTCCCAATTCTTCATAGGACGCCATAATTTTCCAATTCTCATATTATAAGCATCGTATAGTTCCTCTGATGACGACAGGCCCACGCAAACGGAACTTTGTAGAAAAAACTATGATGCCCCTGCCCCAGGCCCAACAAAGATAGTCCGGCCCAATCTTATATGGAAACGGGTTATCCAGTACAGATCGGGATTTGGCCCAATAAAAACCTTCCCCCAGACAGAGAGAGAGAGAGAGAGAGAGAGAGAGAGGACCCTTTAGCAGGTTCTTCTTCCTCTTGGTCCTATGAGGCTGAAACATAAATAAATTGTTCGACGAGGATGGAAAAGAAATTATCCAGAAGCCCTGTCTCGAACCAACGGTGGGCCCCCAGGGCCTATCTAATTACTCGCTCACTGTTCCCTCTTGCGTGTGGATCCGGCTTCCGTAAATAAGACGGATCGGTATTATTAATACGAATCTTCGTTGGGCCGAAAAATAAGCCCCGATATATTTTTTTTGTGCTATTATTAATTCGTTTCATGGAAAATATTTCCCTTGTTTTTCAATAAAAAAAACCATTTTTATTGAAAATGGTAACGAGCATGGTCTAGACAAGGTCATTATTTTATTAATTTGCGGTCATAATATAAATATTAAGCCTATTTTATGCCTGCAGAAGAGTTTATTTTTAATTTCATAATATTCATGAATTCTTATCTTTAAGCCCAAAAAAATATTTAAACCTAGTTTTCACTTTCTAAGTCTTCGCAGGGTTTATTTGCGAATAAATAAGTGCGGCAGATTATTCCCCAAGCTGCGAGATATGACTAAAGAATTCATACATTAGTACCCGAACAAGTACTAAGATCGTCAATACTCGATTAGAGAGGCCGTACTTTGCGCTTATGGAATTACATGAGGGCTATTCTGAAAATAGACAGGGAAAAAATCGAACCACACTTGGCGCGGGCTCTGCGTGACCCCCTACAGCGACTCCCCTTCCTTCCTTTGCCTCCTCCGCCGCCGGCGACCAGTGGCCCCGCCGCATTCATATGGTACGGAAAACGAGATTTGAGAGGTTTTACGGCGGTTCCCGGTGGGGCTCACTGATCTCTCCGGCCCGGCAGAGGCCCACCTCCACCGCCATCACCGGCCTCTCGCCTCCTGCCCGCCGCACTCTGCAGCAGTTCCTCCTCGGCGCCTGTCAGCAACAAGTTTCAGAAGGTGGCGGCGGCGATGGAGGAAGAGGAAGAAGAAGAGGAAGAGGATTGATTGATTACCCGGTCCCAGAGGTGAGGGTCGACGCGCTTGTAGACGACGACCCTCTTGACGGCGGAGGGCTCCGCCATCTTCCACCGGCAGAGCGGGTGGGGGCGCTCCCCGGGGTACCTAGCGTAGTGGGTCACCGTGGTGGTGGTGGTGGCGGCGGCGGCGGCGGTGCCGTTGGAGGCGGCGGAGGTGAGGTAGAAGACGAAGGGCTTCTGGCAGGGGTTCCGGGCCACGGGGCGGGTGTTGAAGGCGTAGGCCTTGTAGTCCTCCCTGCGGTACCAGTTCAGGAAGGTCCTCGTCGGCATCTCCACCTCCCTCGGGGACATCTCCCCCCTTATCACCTGCACGACGTAGCCCCATGCCACCGCCACCGTCCACCGCCTCTCGCCGTCGTAGCAGATGCTCTGCTGCATCAGCGCCGCAGCGTCCAGCCTCGCCGGTCCGTCGAAGAGCTGCTTCAGCGCCGCCACCCGCGACCTCCCGGGTAGCACCGGCTCCACTACATCGAGGTGGTGCAGCGACACCAGCGGCGCCACCGGGTGCGCCGCCAGCAGCCCCAGCAGGCTGCCATAGACGTCGTACTGGTGGAACCCCGGCTCTCTGGTGAGGGGCACGCCGAGCTCCGCCATGCAGGCCTGGATGCGGTCGTCGCTGCCGTAGAGGGCCGGGTAGCGGGAGAGGCAGCCGTCCTGCATCGCCGCCAGCTCCTCCGCCAGCGGGCGGCTGACAGCGAACCCGCCGCCGCCGTAGGCCATGCCGTAGGAGAAGAAGATGTTCTGGAGGTGGCTCTCGGAGACGGCGCCGATGTAGTAGTGCTGGCGGTGGTCGTACTTGGAGAGGACCCGGAGGAGGTTCTCGGGGAAGAAGACGGTGTCATCGTCGCCCATGATGAACCAGCGGGCCTCTGCGGGGAGCTCGGGGAGGCGCAGAGTCTCGGAGATGATGCGGGAGATACGGACGGCGGAGCGACGGCCTCCGCGGTGGGTGTAGGGGAAGCGGGAGGTGTCACCGGAGAGGCGGAGGGTGGGGAGCAGCGCCGCCTCCCGGCGGTGGGTCTTCACCGGTTTGTCGAGCCAGACGGAGCCGGTCATCTCCCCGGGGCGCCACCAGAGCTTGATGTAGTCCTTGCGCTTCCCCCAAAGCCGCGCCGACGCCGCGATGCCGAAGACGATGTGCCGGAACGACGTCGCCGCCGCCACCGCCGCCGCCGGAGGAGGAGGAGGAGGAGGAGGAGAAGGAAAAAGAAGAAGAAGAGGGCTTGCGGGTAAGGCGGCGGCGGGGGCAGGGGCGTTATTGGCGGAGCTGTGAGCGTCCGCCGCCCGGTGGAGGCGGCGGGGGGGATGGAGGCGGCAGCGGGAGGGGAGAAGACGGAGGAGGTAGAGTCCGTAGGCGGCGCAGAGGAGGACAGCGGCGCAGAGGGCTGCCCTCTTGAGGAGCCCCCAAGCGGGCGGCTGCACCGGCGAGGAATACGAGGGAAATCCGCCCTTCAGGCCTCTCTTCTTGCAGTCGTCGGCGTCCTTCTTCCGGCGAGCCGCCGGAGGAGCGGCGCCCGTCCCTGCGCCGCACCCTTTCATGCCTGGAAACCCACCACCTTCCCCTTCCTCCTCCTTCCTCGCCGCCCTCTGTACCTTCTTCTTTCTCTTCTTCTTCCCGCAGAAACCCTCCCGCAGGGGAGGCGGAGGAGGGAGGCAGTACCCCTTGAAGGATCGATCGAGGCCGAAAAAGATGACGTCTCTTGGGAGGGTTCCTACCAGAGGCGAGACGATTTGAGACCAGAGAATAGAGGTCCAGACAGAGAGAGGGAGAGAGAGAGAGAGAGAGAGAGAGAGAGAGAGAGAGAGGAAAGGAGAGAGATAGGAGGCGCATGCAGTTGCGACAGGTTGCACCTCCTCGTGTACGACCCGCCCGAGCTGACCACTCACACGCCTCGGCGTTCTGCGAAATGGAAATTTATGTATTGCTCCTTGTGGAAAGCTTTACTTTCAAGTGTACCTCCATTTGTAAGAATAGAGTATAATACTAATTAGGAGAACGGCCTGGAGGAGGCCCGTTTGCCCGAAATAGAGGGGGCAAGCTCCACCAGCCGCGCCTATTCCTTCGCCCTTCGGTCGCGGGGCATGAATCTGAATAGAAAGCCCGGCGAGTCCAAATAGAAAAATGATGATAATTGTCTGCCCCATCAGTAAATTTTCCTAGAAAATATAAAAATAGCAAGTCTATATACATCTATGTACATTATTGTTATATACACGCAAATATATGGTGCCTCTAAAAGTCTAGAAAATAGAAAACGGTGACAATCACCCACGCCGAAAGGAGGATTTGCTTCAAGGTAAAGATAATAGATGTGTATATATGCATACACAATTTAATAGATGTGTATATTTGCTTCAAGGATTTGCACATAAATTGCTTTTAAATACCCAAAAATAAAAAAAATCACAATTTAACCTTGTCAAATGAGAATTCCGATTTAATCTATAGATGTACCTAGTGTCATTTATTTCTCTCTAGGCTTACATGCATCACTTTATGTAAGGATTATTATAAATTCTTGGAGAAATATGTGCTTTCAATTGTTTCATGGTGATGATTAGTTAATAAAAAAAAATTCATGGACATGAAAATTTCATTTCAAAGCACCATACGTAACCTAAGTGCCTCTTTATTTGTGTATCATGTGCAGAGTAAGAGAGGGCCTTACATTTCCAAATAAGGTCAATAGCTATAATACTTGACTCTTTCTAGAAGATTTTGACTTTGCCAATGTAGTCGTTGTAGAATTCTCATTGGTTGATGATTATATTCATGTAATGTAGGGGAGTGGATATCCATCCCTCATTGAACTATGTGTTTAATGCATTGACAATAAGATCAGGTTGGGATGCTCAAGAAAATACATGCAAATTTAATTTGACCAATTCAAGAGTAAAAGAGGAAGAGGGAAGAAGATGCCTTGTGAGTTCTCTTAGAGAGGATGGGTTGATTTAATTAGGTAAGTGAGGAATGCCACAATGATGATGAGGGCCCTACTAAAGATGATAGGATGAGATTTTTAGGGTTTGATCATATAAGAATTGATTTCTTTCCTTTCAAATAAGCAAGGTGTAATGATTCTGCTTGGGTATAATTGTGGACAATGTAAAAATAAGGGAAGCATTCCTTGGTCAACCTCATGAAAAGAGAAAAAAAATCCAAGCTAGTGTTAGTTTTCACCTTGGTGATTGCTATGATTTGTTGATCAATATTGAGCTATTTGAGGTAAGGTTCCACTTATGATAATATTTTTGGTCAACTCCTCTGGAATCAAGTTGACTTGGGTACTTTTACCCACAACAAACCCCCCACCTGCTTGCACATTTAGATTGGACCTTGGGAGTTATCTTTAGATCATGTATTTCATAAATTTCCCTTTTAATATGCATGGGAGTGGGATTAGTTGACTTAACAATTGACATAAGGAAGTTGATGAGTGTACTACTCAACCTCATAATGGTGTATTCTTGGAATTATGCTCCCCTTTTGTCATTGATGTTATTCCAAAGACTAGTTGCTAAGATATTCCCACTTCCTCCGAACACTTTGGGTCAATAGGGATTTAGTTGTCTCTTGCAATCTTTTTGGTCAAATAATATGTCTTTCATGGCCTTGCTGACCCAAATCAAACACTAGGTTTGATGTCACTCACAATTTGGTCAAAAGTGAGGTATTTGACTTAGCCTTGTTCAAAGCCTACCCTAGTCCTATTCAGATTGACCAAATCTAGAAGACTAAGAGTACGTACATGAGCTTTGAGCCTTATTGATTATAAGATACATAGAATATGGCAAACGATTGGAAGGATATTGGCTATATCCTTAATGATGCTTGCGAACTCACTAGTAATGTACTGCCACAATTATTTCAAATTTTATCAATACTTGTTGTTGTGCTCTTGTTAAGACTTCTTCAATGCCAATTAGTGAAGACTAATTTTCATTTTTTTTTATAAAACTTGAACTATAGTTCTTGAATACCCATAGACCTTAGGTTTTCTATTAAAACTATATTAAAATGATTTTTGTATTAAAATTTATTTATTAATCAATATATTAAAATTGGGTATTACCATATTTTTTGAGTTAGATCATATTGGATAAAGTTGTATTACGGTATTCCAAATATTTTTAGAATTTACCATTATGCTTATTTTGAGGCCATTTTATTGATATAATACAGTATCAATGAATGTTTAAAATAATAAATAATTTAATTAATTTAATGAATCATAAGATAATCTGACCTTAGGTTGTTGAATGGAGCATGCGTTTATTTTCTTTTAGGGCCGAGTTTGAAGGCAGAAGTCGGAAGAGATCGGCTGGGCCGGGCGGAGGTTAACATCTGGGTACGCCTCCATGGGTTTCAGGGGGCCGGCCCAGTCCGCTCTGTTGGTTTGCAGGGAAGGACGCGCGTAGTGGGCAGGAGAGGGCGTGGTGAGGGAGGCGGTGAGCAGCCGATCCAGTGTCCCTCTTGTTCTCCTGGTCAAAGCCTCAGTGAGCGACTGAGGCGCGGAGAGTGGCTTCCTGATACTACGTCTCCTCGGCGACCACCGCGGTAAGCGACTCTGTGCATCACTCTGTTGGCGTGTTGAGGGAAATGAAGTTGAATACGAAAAGAGGAGCGGGGGAAAGGTTGGGATCAGGTCGTGGTGGAGGTTAACTTCTTGTGCACTGTGATCCGATGGCAAACGGGTTTTGTTTTTTATTTATTGGATTCTTGTCATCGACATTATTTTTTTGTAATTGTCGCGGGGAATCCAAATTTTATGAACATTTGGATCGAAGATTGAATGAGTTTTTTTTCGATGGCTTTGTATTGCCTGTAGGATTTTTTTTCTTCATTTGATTGGCAAGGTGCGGGGTTCGTTTTCCTCTTTTCAGGAAAAAGAAATATTAATCAACAATAGAGGGAGCGCGATTGCCCCCCCTCTCTGTTTCATCTGTGGTGCTATTTCACTTATGCATCCCTTTTTTAGTTGTGTTTTCGTCTCCCTTGGATTTGACGATATTTCATCCTTGACTCTGCTAACAGTTTTCATCACTTTTCAAGTAATTGGGCATTGCATTTTCTGTATTTTAGTTCATCATTGGTTCCGAAGATAATGAATTGCACCAGTAGTCTAAGCTTGCCATCTGTCATGTGGCTGAAAGCAACATATTCGTGTCTCAAGGGTTGTAAATTCCAAATAAAAATCAAAGCTACTAATGGATTTGTTTCGAAAGAGGATTAGAAAGGTGACAACAAACATGACTTATTTAATGTGATGATACAAAGAAATAGCTTAACAGAGGGAAGCAGTAGCGGATTTCCCAAAAAACTATTAGCCAACTAGTGATTAAAAGAATTCTGATGTCGAGCATTTTTGGGGAATCCATAGAAAGCAAAACCATTCCATAAAATGCTTGCTGTCGGTCTCGATTCATTCTCTTTTCAATTGTGTTCATGGAATGTGTCACGCTCATCTATTCTGCTTTATTATTGAGTTTCTTGTCTTCCCAAGAGTCCCCGGAGGTTGGGAATTTCACTGATTTCTCTTAGATGAACGGTTTACAATGCCTCAAATATATAAATATATGGCTGTACGAGCACATGCATTCAAGGCTGCCAGTGAATCCCGACTGTTTATTGATTTTTTGTTTCTTAGGACATCTTTCTCTTTCTCCTATATAAGGTACATTTGGATAGTCTCGATGTATTTGGATATTAATATGAATCTAAAAAGATAGATTGCAATTTTGGCAGTTAGAAATTTATTTATTTATCTTTTCCTTTAGCCTTTAACATTAGTATTTGAAATATATTACTAGTATTTAGAAATCAAATAATGTCTGAGTTGCATCATGTGAATGATGTTTATTATTTTGGTGATGTATATTAGGACATATCTCCCATCCGTAGATTTCATCTTTTGCTCTGGTTTTCAAAAACTGCTGCAATTATAAGTGATTTTCTCGTTAGTGACAATATGCCTAAGTTTTTAATCTAGAGTTAGCAATTTTTGGATGTTTGACTGTCTTTTGTCTCTTATTTGTCCTAATGTGCTTACGTTAGCCTTTCCCCCCCTTGTTGCAGAGCAAAATGTCTCCTTTTTGTGTCATCATACAGTGACGGAATGTATTTGGTGAACATAACGTGTTGAACGTGGACATTACAGAACACAATGATGTCTACGGTTACAACCCTGAAATCATTTCAGACCATAAGATGTAGAGTTTCTACTATTTATTGTGCAACATATTACAGTTTCTCTGTAGATGCCTCAAAATTCAGTTTCAGACATCTTCCTCGAGCTTTAGGTTTCACTGCATTTGATAGAGACAATGTGAGGGAATGGCCTACACTTCGGAGTCCAGAAAGGAGGCAGCAGAAAATAGTACCTCATCATAGCTACAATTCTGGGACAATGTCCTGCTCGGCTCTTCAAAATACTGGCACAATGAATGATTTGGTACATTCTGGGAGAATTTTATTTCCTGCATCTGTAAGTCAAACATTCACCTATCGAGCGTACTCTTCACCTACAGGTAACAATCGTGATTCTGTAGAATTTACACCAGCATCCTCCAAGGCAGAATTTCCTATACAAAGCACTGAGGCTGGAGGTAACGAGTGGGTTGATATCTTTAATCGAGCTTACCAGTCTGCTTTGGATGCTGCCACTAACACTCAGAGGATGGCTAAAGAAGCATCTGATGAGGTGGTTCCTTATATTGATCGGCTGTTTGAATCACATCCGTATCTGAAAGAAATTGTTATTCCTGTCGGTTGGACTTTATCAGCGACAGTTTTGGCTTGGCTTGTGCTTCCAAGGCTTCTGAGGAGACTTCACCATTATGTCAATCAAACTTCTATTGCGTTATTATCAGGAGGATCACCTCAGGAATCTGTTCCATATGAGAAAAGCCTGTGGGGTTCTTTGGAAGATCCTGCAAGATATCTGATTACGTTTATTGCTTTCTCACAGCTGTGAGTTCCTCTTATGATACGCATGCTCGTATGTCTTTCATGTTGGATTTCGGATTTTTCTGCTTGATTTATAATGGATTTTTCATCTATAACGTGGATGTGATTTGCTACTAACAACTATGGAAGGTTTTCAGTAAGACTGGTAATGCCTTTTTCTAGTGTTTCTTCAGTTAGAATGCTGCTTTACGGGTTGTGAATGCATTACAGAAAAAGGCAGCATTACTATTTCACATTGAAGCATTCTAACATCTCTTCGGTTAGAATGCCTTTTTCACTCGTCTCTTCATTGATTTTAAGCCTAATTTAGTAGCTAGTTTTGGGAAATTGTGCAATCATAATATCATTAAAACATTTTTTGAGATATCACCCGTAAATCAGACAGACTGGAACTGACCTTTGAACTCGAGTGCTCTAAAATAACTTAGTCTTTGATAAATTAGGTTCCATCCTATCTATTGAACACTTTGTGCGGTAAAAGCCTTTTTTGAATAACATTATCCAATATGTCTTGTTTTCGTTTCTCATGAATGAGAAAAGTCTTGAGTAAAGGAAATTGTTTCATGTTCTGTCTTTGTGGCAGTTTAGGTGGTAAACATTGACGATCCAGAATATTCTCAGACTTAATATCGAAGAGGAAAAATGTAAACTGTTTACATGGAATTGCCTCTTTGAAAGCCCTATGACACATTTTGAGTTTTTTTCTCATCAGGTTGCACTTGAGGAATGACATCATGGAGGCATACACATGAAAGTATTCTGTAAAGATGCTAAGATCATCATTCACATAACGTTGGCATGTGTACTTTTTAATATGAATGATGTCGAAAAAATGTGAAGCACTAGTGATCCATATTCTTACATTCGACCATAGACCAAGGAGATTTGTCAACTGTTTTTCTGTTTGAAAAGTCTGACACAATCCGTGATCATGAACTCGCAACATTCATCTGTCACCTGCACGCAAAGGATTCATATCATTTCATTCATCTAACAGGTTATGTAAGCATGGATCATACTGTGAATCAAGCACGGCTGAATTATGTATCACGAGAATCATTATCTCACTGTTATAATACTAGAGAGTTATCTTGATACCCTGATCCATACGTGTTATAATTATTTAAAGTAATAGTTATAAACAACCATTGTTGTGATCGTTCAACTATGTATATCAAGCACATCATTTACTGTGAATCGAAGGAGTCATGCCATTTAATTATTATGTAAATCATTATAGCCCTTCTTTTATGATCGACTTTGCATGCCATTATGGATCATGTAAATGTGTGATAAGGATTACAATTATAGTCGTGTGAAATCATATCCTTGGGCCAACGTCCTTAGTCCATTGTTGTAAACGTTTATCTCATCACTTGGATCTTGTATGCTCATAATAGTTATGAAATATACAAATCTATTGAAATCATACGATATCATGTCATGTCATATATTTTTACATTGTTGTTATTAATGTGAGAAATGTGAAAGATCTATGAATAATAGTTCTTTGCCTTTCTTGTACAGGGGTGTTTTCATTGCACCAACTACTTCCCAATATCTTTCTCAAGCATGGAGGGGTGCACTTGTCCTTTCAGTTGTTTGGTTTCTGCATAGGTGGAAGACAAACATATTTTCCCTTGGACTCACAAAACGAGTGACATTAGGGTTGGATCGTGATAGGTTGGTAGCTTTGGACAAGTTATCATCTGTAGGCTTAATTATACTTGGCATGATGGCGTTAGCTGAGGCTTGTGGCATAGCTGTGCAATCAATTTTAACTGTTGGTGGGATAGGAGGTATATTTATGTTATTGCGTCTTGCAGTTAGTAGGAAAATAATGTTCAATCTTTAAGCTTTACTGTCTTCCTGAAACCACAATTCTACAACAAGCTTACAGTTAGCCATTTTCCTTTCAAGTACACTTGGGGGATATATTCCTGATGTGGTGGTCTTTACTTTTTGGCAGTGTTGAGGGGATTGGAGAACACCAAACACATTTTCTCAGTCGATATGATCTAACTATAATTAAGCCTGAAGCCACGCCTTGCCCAGTCAGATAGTATTCGGTTTTAAGGCTTAAAATTACGTCTGGAAAGAATAATTGATCTAACCCTTTCCATATGTGGACCAAATTAGGCTTCATAAGCCCGGAACCTTTTTAAAATTGTAATGAGCGAGTCCCATGGCTACTCATGTGGCAGCTAGTCTTCCTCCCTTACACTCTTGCTCTCCAGTGCGACCTGTTGACTATTTGAATTGTTGGGATTTGAAGATACTGGATCTTTTCTTCTGCCCGAACCCAGAACTCCTTCATGCTTAAACTCACTGTGGTCCCAACATTAAGATTTTGCTGACTGGATTTCAGTGACTGCTTTGACGTCAAATGTCACTCATTGAATAGTTATATCATGTTGAATTTATTTTACTTACGAAAAAAAAACAGAGCCATAATTCATGAATGAGCTGATTCGTGTTTTGTCTATGGAACTTCTCTCTTTAATTCAGGATAATCTGCCAACATGATGACGGGGTTCTCTTATTGGCCTCTCTTTTTCACTTCCAGAAGCTTTTATTTGTTAATTTTGTCTTTCTACAATGAAAGTTGCTTAGTTATGGATTCCTGATTTTTAAAGTTGTCTTTGAGAATGACCATTGTTTTTGGTGATCTTTCTCGGAGTTGTAGATTTTCTAAATTTTGTTAATTTTTAAAATCTTTGAAACCATGTTCGAATCCTGAACTTCATTAATATCTCTTCTAAATATTTGAATACATTTTTCTAATTTCTTTGAATCATTTTTGATGATGTAATAGCATAGAAAACATAGAGGAAAGGAAACATTGGAAAGTTGCTGAGGTATGGGTTCCTTTTCCAAGATGTGTAGGATTTAGATAAACCATGCACGTTGGATTGATTCAGACGGAGATCTCCTTTTACCTTACAAACTTAATGGAAAGTCCTGCAAGTAAGATATCTACGGCTGCAAATTTTTGCAAAATGGTCATATCTGATTTTTCGGGGAGTTTGGAAGACTTTCAGATCGTGGGGAAAGCTCTAGTGATGAATTTGTTTGCAGACAAACACGTGAGTCTTATTTTCCGATAACAACAACACACCCAAAAACAACCAACGTGGAAAAAAACCCCTCTCAATTCTGCTGCCAATTAAGAACCCCACGAGATGAGGGGTGTTAGGAAGAATAGGGCAGCCATGTTCTGATACTATGCTGGACACATGAAATGTAGATGGACAAAATGTGATTTCCATCTTATTACTAGTGCCAGAGGCTAATAAATGCATACAAGAGATGCCCCCGCTAGAATGCCTGACAATGCCACATTTGAATACAGTATGCACAAAAGTTCTATGCACTTGGATGATAATTCCACAAGAGAAGCTTTTCTGATTTGTAAAATCTTCTGCCTGTCAGAGGTTTTATTTGCCTTAATGGATCGAATTACTGAGGCACTCATTGGTGTGATTCCCTGAAGTTGTGCTTTTGAAGGATTAATATGAATAGGACATAGCCATCATCTTTCTCTAACATAAATTACAGCTAAGAGAATCTTCATTGATGCAGGGGTGGCCACTGCTTTTGCTGCTAAAGATATCCTTGGCAATCTTCTCAGCGGCCTTTCTTTACAGTTTTCACATCCCTTCTCAATTGGTGATAGTATTAAGGTATCTTGGCTACTTCTTACATTTGCTGTGGACTTTTCCTCTTTCCCCGGATTACTTCACATGATGGTGATTTAGTTACTGTGTTTTGGCTATCAAACTGGGAATTTGCATACCCATGATAAGATCCCAATTTTGTACCCTAGTGTAGTGGCTCTGAAAGTATAGATAATACCTTTCTTCGCAGACTGCACTATAAGGACCATCTTTTAATTAAGTTCTTTATAAGTTACTAAACCGTACCAGGACTTTATGCAGATTCAAAAATATTACAGTAGGCATAGTAGTGCTAGGAAAAAAATTGCGAGAGACCAACTGAAGGTTCTGTTTTCTTGTGAAGTATCAGAATCACAATAGGTCTCCATCCAGCATTTCTTGCACTCTTATTAGTTTTTATGAATTCCTGATTCAGAATAAATCATTTGTGTTTTCCATCATACGAAGTTGGGATGAAACTTGTGATGGATCACAGGTTGTGCTCCTCTGCCATCTTGGTTATTCAATATCTAGAATTTTGTTTAAGGCATAGGTACACTTGATGCTCTGTTGCCTGCTTAATTCTATTCCTTTTCCTATTTGGCCCAGTCCCATTTGTAAGATGAAAGCATATCTTGTAAGATGAAAACCTTCAATTCAATGATCCTGGATTGGCCAATCCAATCGGGGTTCGATTTAGGTGAATTGTGTTTATCCCAAGTCATTCAATATTCACGTGATATGAAATACATGAAACCCATGCTCTGGTGTCTACATAGTTTTACAAGAAACAATGAAAGGTTGTAATAATGTTTTTCCATCAGTCATGGGGGTGACGGTCGCAAACTGGTTTGCATTCTGTCATAGTGTACCTTTTTCCCTTGCACGTGCCAAAACAAACCATATGAATCCATGCACCAAAGATACCCAAATGCATATTTAGATCATAATATATGGCTTTCTGAATGTTTGTGCAATATCCTTCGTATTCACAATGCTTTTGATTGCGTTTGTACCTGTGTGTCACCAATTCCTGGCTATCTATTCTACCGATGATCTTTCATTGTTGTTTATTATTATAGTTTTGGCAGATGGGCGTTCCTGATTGTTTGTTTTGATTTTCTTGAACCATTACTTACCTTTTCATTCGCTGGACTCAATTTGTAAATTTTCTGTGATTTTTCCTGCTCCATCTTATTATTCTCTCATGGTGGTCAACAAGTGCATTGGCATTACTTTCTGTCTTTGATGTTCAAACTTCATTATACTATGGTTATCATTCAAGAATCATTTATAGGCTGGATCAATAGAGGGCCGAGTGGTGGAAATGGGTCTCACAACCACGTCTTTGATTAATCAAGAGAACTTCCCTATCATTGTCCCAAATTCACTCTTTTCCAGCCAGGTATGTTTTTCTCTTCTTTCATGTAGTCTTGGTCCAGTAAATATTTCTGGACTACCAATTGATATTAGGTATTGTCAAATTCAGATGTTTTATCTCTGTGATATAGTTCATATCTCAGATGCAATTATCTTGATAATAAGCACATTCAATTTTATTTCCATTGTCCTATTAGGTCACCAGCCTGACTTTGTTTATCTATATTTCGATTCATGGTATCATGATAGAGGCTGAGTGGTCCATTCGTTGAGGTTAGACACTGATACTACCAGATGGAAAAGAGCAAAATGAAGAGCTGGAGAATGGTGAACTAAAACACCAAGAGGGAGGGAACTATATTAGAATTTCAATTATGATATTCATGCAAAAATGTCTACAATTAGATTGAGATTTTTCTTCAATGAGAGAGGGGGCCTGGAACAAAACGACAAGGAGACCTGAGACTAATGGAAAATTGCTCTGAAAGCGTAAAGATGTTAGGAAGTTGACCCTCTAAGGGTTGACGACTTTTGAGGAAATTATTAAGATAATTGCAAGTTTTCCTTTTGAAGAAAGGACAGTTAACTAAATTGGTAATTTCTCAAAGAAAGGAAATTCTGAACGAAAGAATAAATTTTTTCAAGTTGTGAAACGATACCCCTAATTTCACCAGATCTAAGTGCACAACGTATGATCTTCAATGGTTGATCATGAAACGAAGATAAAAATGTGAAAGAAAAATTTATTCTCAGCTGATGGTTGGTTTTCAATCAGCTATCCATTCTGAGAAGATGGCTACTTCCGTATGCTGTCGTATTATTGTAATAATGATCTTAATCGCCAAAAGAAAAGAGCAAATTAAGTGTTTGTAGGAAAATTAGTGAACCGGAGTATCAGTCAATAGAGAAGGTGAAGATTAGTGAACAAAAAACATCGACAGGAAGAGAAGGAATTGGTTTCTATTTCATCATAATAATTTAGATACTATATGGGTCAAGCCCCTTTTAAAGAGAAAACAACTTGACCATTGTGAAGCCTTTTTAAAATTATTTTGGCTTTTAAAGAACGTTTAATAAATTGAAAAGTAAAGTTTCTAAGAAGATAACAAGTTGTTCTTATGAATGGCTATCAACTAAAAGTGAAACTTCTAAAGAAATGACAAGTTAGCATTTTAAACAAGGATCAAGTAATCAAAGGAAATCTCTTAAGGAAATAAAGGAAAGCAAATACTCACGGATATATCTGATTCCCTTGATCATGTCAAAACTGTAAGCAAATCCAGTTCTAGATCAAATTGCTTAATGGAAGATCGTTTAGGAAAATGCATATGTAAATTAGGAATAGGGACGAGCTCATATTCAAATTTGTTGACTATACAACTCGTTGTTGACTATAGAGGAGGCTAATAATGCTGGTAAAATTTGGTCAACACCGAGTGGTCCTGATTCATTTCAGGAGGGGAATCTTGAGCCTCATGAAAATTTTCTGTTAATTGGCCAATGTCACTTGGATTCGCTGATTTTGGGCCAGGTAGGTCCTTTAAGGTTCACTGCGGCCTTCTTTTGGCCTGAGAATGAATAGCATAAAAAGATGCTTCGCTTCTTTAGGAAGCCAGAAAATCCTTTCCTAAAAGCATTTGGTGGTCAATCCTTTCCGAAAAGCATAAGCAATTTTTTTCCACTCCTATCTCAGAGCACTTAGGATCTATAAATAAAAATAAAAAAGCGAAAATCCCCATCTCTCGCTCCTTCTTTCCCATTTTGGGTGCATTTCATTATTTTTTCTCTCTTGGTTATTTGTTGCTTGAATTCCAGTCAATTTCCATTGCAATTGGAGAAATAATCTAGCATCTCTTTAGGATGAATGGTCTGACTAAGAAAGATTCATGTACAGATTGGGCGACTTCTGGAAGTTCTCATCTCATTTTTTGTGGCTTCCGGATACAAATTGGAGTTCATCCTGACGGAGAGGTTTTAACATTTCGATGAAAGGATAAATTGTGCTTGGGTTTGTGCCTTGGTTATTTAGGAGGAAAACTGATGGTGCTGGTGGCTGATTCACTTTTTTTCTTTCTAGACATGCTCTTTCCATATTACTTCTCTGATTAAAGAGCTCAAAACACACAGGTGTAGAATATATTGTCATCTGGGTTGTGATCCGCAATTGTTTTCTTGTTTGGAGCGCTATCTGTAGTACTTTTGTTATGCCATTTGTTGTGGCATTCCTTGGATCATTGATGCCATCTACATTATTGAATGCGTGATTGAATAGAACGACATTGCATTTATATCTTTAGCTCGACTGTAGAGCGCCTTAAAATTTTGTCTGGATTATTTTGCCACATGTTAATAAAGATGGCAGTTTATTCGTGATCTGTTATGGATGTGGAGAACAAGTACACTGGTTTAATTGTGCTTTACAACATAAATCTGTAGGTAATCGTAAACAAAACGCGTGCTCAGTTCCGTGCATTAGTGAAAACAATACCTTTCTGCATTGACGACTTGGAAAAGATTCCAGACGTTTCAGAAAGTGTAAAGTCCATGTTGAAGGGTCATCCAGCAGTTATCTTCGAAAGGGAGGTTCCTTACTGTTTCCTGTCACGAATAGAGGATTCATATGCTGAATTAACACTTGGATGCACTCTCAGAAATAAGGTAAATGCTTTCCCACTGTCTACAGGTTTAGTGGAATCTTAGATATTTTTGCCCTTTCTCTTTTTTCAATTAATATTTCTTGTGGGATGAATGTAGTACTTAATTTATTGAAACCTTGATCTGAATGTCACCTGCAGAATGCTTGGATAACTCTCGTACTCTTTCTTCTGCGTTCCTGTTCAACAGAATTTCATTCTTTTTTTTTTTAATTTTTTTCTTCTTCCATTTATTTCTTAGTGACAATCTGCCCCCTTTAAGTCATCAATCTGTGGCACAATCATTTGGGACTTGCGGACATAATAATCTATGCGCAGTCTTGTAAACGACTTTTTATCTTTTTTATGAACAGCACTTGAGCTCCATATGGAATAACGCCTTCTATAGTTTTACAATAATATTCATCGAAATCTTGTCGATTACGTACGACTGCACTCCATACATAGTTTATTTTTTTGATTTCGTGGTTGTGTGCTTCTGTTTATATGTTTGGTGTAGCAAAATGATTAAAAATTGCACAGAAGGGACGAGTTTTTGATCATGTGGTTAAATATATAGGTGTACTTTTCTCATAACCAAATGGATCATAACTCTAAAGATCGAGTCCTAACTTTAAATATATAGGTGTAATGCGCATCCAGGTCGTGCTGCTGTCCACATGAAAATTTGTCAATTGGTTGACTCGAATTCGTGGGGAAATTGAGAGATGACAGGGGCCAGATTGTCATTGCAAGTCCCTCCAAGTACTCATATTGAAGTCCATGCATTGACTCAGATAAAACCTTTTGCCTTATAAGTGATAGAACGTCTCAGAATGCCATTTTTGCGCCAAATATTGAGTGTGAACGAGTGCTTCTTCGCTTATAGTCTTTTTAGTTCTGAACCTGAAGTCTTGATTTTTCTCTGCTTTAAGAAAACCATTCGACTGAATCCTTGTGTTTTATCTTCTACTAGACGTTGACTTTTGAGGATGCTTCAGGAAGAGTTATTGTTCTTGATGTTGTTGACAATTTCAGAGCTTTTTCCCCACTTGGGGTAATTTCTGAAGAAAAAATATGCAGCCTTTTTGTTGGAGAAATCCCTTAGATTAGATCTTGTTTCATAATTCGAAACTGGGTTCGATTTAATAATCCAGGCTTTAATAACCATGTTTTTGTGAGTAATTAACAGGGGAAGGCCGAGTTGTACGCCACAGAGCAGGACATATTGCTGCAGGTGACCCAGATCATCAGGCAACATGGCGCCAGACTGGGGAGCACTCTGAACAGCCTTAATAGCCGCTGATTTCCCCCCCAAAACAAGTGTAAAGCTCAGTAGTCTTCCTCCTCCTCTTCATTTCAAGCGAATTTGTATAAAATCATATGCATTTCAGGAATCGTTTTATGGATTCGCGCTTGATTTGTTCACCCGTCGGTTATTTCTTCCATGTGATTTTATTAGTCTCCTTGTTTTCAGGTGGCAAACAGGAGTTGGTTGACCTGTATTCAGATCCCTCATGAACACGTGAGTCAGAAATTCCTCATTCTGGTTTGACCATACGGCCGAAATTCCTTTGACTAGGGTCCGAGGGGATGCTCTTCATTCGTTAACTTTTGTCAAAAACTTCCAAGTTAAAATCTTCTCGGCGCTTAGCGTAAATGACTTAAAATCTGGGCAGGGTTTAATCTCTTTTACCGATTAAATTAAGCCATTTGTTTGTTATTTATTTGGTTAGAGAACATGAAAAACACAAAAAGCCTTTGCCTGATGAGTGTAGTCGTTTGACTTTTGACGACATGATGCTGAATGCCCTTTGAATGTTCTTATCTGCTTACTAAAATAGGGAAAAATGATAAGGATTATTGGTTGAACTAAAGCTCAGTCAATAAATGCCGGCTTCATCTTCATCTTGTCCCGATTTTCTTCTTAACAAGACCCACAGACTTCCTCTCTCTCTCTCTCTCTCTCTCTCTCTCTCTCTCTGTTCGCAACCAAAAGGCGGCGGACAGGAAACAGTGGATCGCGTAGACTTGCAGGGGAGGAAACGCTACGCAAAGACAAGGAGTGGGGCTCGTCGGGAGCCGCCAGACTTGCAGGCCGGCGGCAGCTGCGCCTGGACGGCGATTCTCACTGGGGCCCACGGCCTCGATCAGCCCCCCCTGGAGATTCCAGATTCCCCCCTCGGGGCTCTCAATCTTTCTGTATAACCCCCAGTCTCAACAATTTCCTTTCCAAGCCAGACGGTCCCCTCCCCCGCGGGACCACGTTTGGTCGAGTACCACCCCGTTGGACCCCCCAGGACCCCTCGCGCTCTCTCCGTCTGCGCCCCGCCGTGGTGTGGGGGCTCGGCCGCGACGGGTAGGTTGGGGCGGCGTTACGGCGCCGGTTAAAGCGCGGAGGAGCGGCTGGAGTAATTGTGACTGCAACCCGACCCCCACTTCTTGTGGCAGCATCCGCCCCGCTGGAAACTCAGACCCACCTCCACCGCCCTAAATCCAAGCGCCGTCCTCTCCCTCCTCCTCTTCGTCCCCATCAACATCACCACCACCATCACCCCGCCGGTCGTCGCGCCGGAGGGCGCCTGGTGCTGCGCCACCGCCAAGCAGAAGCCCCAGCCCTCGCCGGGGGCGGCGGCGGCCGTGATTTCTCTGCCGGAGGCGGAGGAGGGAGAGGAGGAGACTTGTTCAGTGGGCTCCGGCGGGGGGTTCCCTGGGATGGACGCGGCAGCGCCCACTCCCCCGCCGGCGGGGACGGGGACGGGGACGGCGGCGGCGGCGGCGGCCGTGTTCCCGCCGTTCCCGGCGGGGTACAGCAAGTTCAACTCGGCACTCAACGCGGGACTCCTCAACCCCATGTCGCCGCCGCCGCCGCCCATCGACAGGATCCGCTCCAGCCCCACGCTCTTCGAGATGATGGCCAACGAGCAGGACTGCCACCCCCGCAACCAGATCCCACCGCTGCCGGCGCTCCCCGCTCCACCGGGGGCCGGCCGGCAGCAGCAGCAGCACCACCACCATCCGCAGCTGATGACGGCGCCGCCACTGTCGGCGCAGGAGCGCCAGCTGCTGCTGCAGGAGCGGGTGGCGGAGATCCTCGGCAGCTGCAGCCCCGGTAACCAGCTCGGGGACCAGGAGACCGGCGACGTGCGGCTGACCCTCACCTCCAGGGACGGGCTGACGGTGTCCATGGCGGTGCACCGCCAGGTCCTCGTTGCCCACAGCCGGTTCTTCGCCGCCAAGCTCTCCGACCGCTGGGCGAAGCAGCAGCAGCCACAGCCGGCGCCACCGCAGCGTGGCGGCGCCACCGCCGCCGCCCCCCACCACGTTATCGAGATCTCCGATTGCGACGACGTCGAGGTCTACGTGGAGACCCTCCGCCTCATGTATTGCCAAGACCTCCGCCGCCGCCTCATGCGGGAAGACGTCCCCAAGGTCCTCGCCATCCTCAAGGTAAGAACCCCACCCTGCAGCCTGCGACATCATCTTCCCCCTCTTCTGCTGATCGATCACCTACCCACTCTCTTCATCGTCATCACCATCATCATCATCATCCTTCATCATCTTCTTCTTCTTCTTCTTCTTCTTCTTCTTTGAGAGGGTAGGTGTCATCGGCGATTGGATTCGACGGGGGGATTCTGTCGTGCCTGGAGTACCTGGAGGCGGCGCCGTGGGCTGAGGACGAGGAGGAGAAGGTGGCGGCGCTGCTGTCGCAGCTCCGCCTGGAGAACTCCGGCGCGGGGGAGGTGCTGAAGAGGGTCTCCCTGGAGGTGGTCCCTCTGGCGGCGGACGAGAGAGGGACCGCCGGCACCGGCGGGGAGGAGGTCCTCGTCCGCCTCCTGCAGGTGGTCCTCGAGGGCAAGGACGAGAAGGCCCGACGGGAGATGAAGAGGCTCGTCTCCAAGATGCTCCGCGAGAACAACAGCGGCTGCGGCGGCGGGGCCGCCGGCCACGGCGGCCACGGCGGCGGCGATCTGAGCAAGGAGTCCCTCTACGCCGCCTGCGAGAGCAGCCTCCGGCAGCTCCGCCACCACTTCCTCCGCGTCGCCGGGTCCGACCTCGCCGAGGCGGCGCAGATCTCCCGGCAGGCCGACAACCTCCACTGGCTGCTGGACATCCTCGTGGACCGGCAGATGGCGGAGGAGCTGCTGCAAATCTGGGCGGCTCAGGCGGAGCTCGCGGCGGCGCACCCGCGCGTTCCGGCGATCCACCGCTACGAAGTGAGCCGCGTGACGGCGAGGCTGCTGGTGGGTGTGGGCAAAGGGCAGATCTTGGTGGGGAAGGAGGCGAGGTGCCAGCTGCTTCAGACATGGCTGGAGCCCTTCTACGAGGACTTTGGGTGGATGAGGAGGGCCTGCAAGGGCCTGGACCGGCACCTGGTGGAGGACGGCCTGGCCAACACCATCCTCACCCTCCCGCTAGGCCTGCAGCAGGAGATCCTCCTCTCCTGGTTCGATCGCTTCCTCAACTCCGGCGACGACTGCCCCAACATTCAGAGGGGCTTCGAGGTCTGGTGGCGGAGGGCCTTCTGGCGGCGCAACGGCGACCCCGACCGTCCCCCGCGCCAGCTACGGATCGTCGCCGCCACCTCGCCATAGCCGCCGTGCCCACCATCTTCTCTTCCCTCTCTCTCTCTCTCTCTCTCTCTGTCTCTTTCTCTCTTCTTCTTCTTCTTCTTCTTCTTCTTCTTCTTCTCTTATTCGTCTTCTTCAGAAGCAACGCTGATTTAGGCTTTTAGCGCAGGCTGATCCTGTCTCATCGTCACCTTGGGATCGATCGATCGATCGATCGATCGAAGAAGATTGATCGTTAATCTTAGCGCTGACCGAATCTCCATCGGACCACCTCGAAACCACCAAGTTTCTTGGAGTGCCGGGAGCAATTGAACAGAGAGAATCCTTCTCGGACAATTTGAATGGACTACTAGCCTAGCCTGCTGAATGATTTCCTTAAGAGGAAAATCAAAATCCCTGCAAACCCGATATAAATCATCCAACCTCATAAATAGAAGACCATCATATCGACATTCTATACATGCTTCGTGAAATCATTGCCAAGGCGAGATCAGCACGAAATTAATCCGAAAGTTTTGTGCTTTTTAGGCACTCTGTTTCCTGAATATAATGTACTTCAGTCTATACTTCATGATATCGATGCCAATGCGAGATCAGCACAAAATTATCCGACGCCCGCGATTTTTGAATGGCACGATATGTTCCGAAAGTTTAGTGCTTTCTAGCAACCCGGTTTCCCTGAATGGAATGTACTTATTATGCCTCATCATCTCGATCATCTCCTCATTTCCTGGAGAAAATTTCTCAGCCAAACTGTAATCTACCGTCCGACACCTTTCCATTTGTAGTTCATGTCCATCGCCTTCCTCTCACTTGTTCCCTTTGGAGGTGGGCCTTCGTCGTCTCTTATCCCTCCCTATTCCGAGGTGAGGATATCGATCTCGTATCCCCCTCCACTGGTCAGCCACCGTCTCTTGTCATTTCAAGGAACATGTGTGGTACCTCTCTCTCCCTCATTTTCTTGACCGCCCATCATCTCCGTTCCTTTTCTGTTTCCTTCTCAACCCCAGCCTCTCTCTTATCCTACCGCATTTCACGGTGACATTCGCTCTCTCTCTCTCTCTCTCAAGTGATCTGCTGCCGTCCCCTTTCCGTTCTCCTGGGACATATTGTATAGTCTCTCATGATTACCGACGTAAGCCTCTCTCTTGTTCCGACCCACTGTCTGCACATCTGTGGGTCTCCAAGTTGATATCGTCACCCATCTGCCTCCATTTTTTCCGCAATCCGCTTCCGGTCCCTCCATGTTTTTTCCTGGTCAACTGACATCTTCGGCTGGATTAGTAGGTTCACCCGTGTTCACTCCCTTTTCCTCTCTTGGTTGACCAGCTTTGATCTCTCCAGCATTCTTGAACAACGCAGTTGTAACTTTAATTACAGTTACTTTCAATTGTGTCAAATCAGAGTACTTATAATATGCCAATCTTCCACCAAATGGGTCCCCTAATAAATAACAAACACTTCAGCTTTTAGCTCAAATTAGATAGAAAGAAATGACGATGGGATCAATATGATATTCCAAAGTTTTGTCATCGGTTAAACATAGTTGACTTTATCTCTTACTAATATCCTATAAAGTTTTAAAACATGCTTACTACGGTTCATACTAGATAGATGACAAAGGAGAGCACCTAATTAAAATATGGCGTGCCCTAAAAAATTCCTAGACAATTTAAATTTGATCTCAGCATCATTGATTTTCACCTTTTCTTCATCTACTCTATCTCACCTCCATGTCTAATGGGTCAGCCTCATACTATTCCCTCTAATAGTAGAGAGGTGTTGGAGCTCATATACAAGTGATTAGGCATGCATGGTAAACCTTTCTTCTCTTAAACCTCACAATTATTTCTAAGGTATGTCATCTTAAGGTGTTAATAGATTGATAGGTCTTATCGATGCCCAACTTTCTTAGTTCTCTTTTATCTCTTTTATTTTATTAAAGAAAATGTCTTATCCACAAAGTACATATTCTACTTTTGGAGGTTGCCTCATTGGTATCAAGTAGTTGAAAAGAGGAACTAAGAAGTTGGGAAGTGTGGGGAGAGTGGTGTTGATGCCATTGGTTTTGATAACTATGAGTGAATTTATCGATAAGTAATTATTAAAATTTTAATATTATTTATATATGTCTAGAGTATGTTTTAAATATTTAGTATATTTTAAATAGTTATTAAATGAATTATATTTATTTATTTTATGGTCTTATCACTAGTGATCAAATTTAAAGTATTATTCCTTGATATTAAGTGAATATCTACTTTATGAATACTTGATCAACAAAGAATGTTAGTTAAAGGATTGTCTTCAAATTAAAGGATAAGTATATGACTAAATGGGTATAAGTTGAAGTAAATCATACTATGTTATCTTTAATTATATTATTATCTAACTATATTATCTAGCATTTGGTATTTCAAAATGATAATAGACATTTTCTCTAAGATTTTTTATGGAGCCATGGAGTTGGCTTCAAGAGAGGGAAAGGAGGATGGGTAAAAAAGAGAGACTATAAGGGGTGTATTACTCGGCTAACAAAAGAAGACAAAAGCAAAGGAGGGAGAGGTAAGGAGAGAACATAGAAAATAGAGTAAAGGATAGATAGAAGGGACCTTGAGAGGGCCCTATAAGGGAACCGATTTGAGATGGCTAATTTTCACTTCTCCACTCAATGATACATGGCTCAAAGTAACTCACTACCCCTCCGTAGTGGATGGGGAGTTTTCTTATAGCCATAATGACCTTCATCATGCACTCCTTCCACTCGATTGCCTCTACATTATCTCTTAGTTCTAGTTTTAGTAGACCAACCTCTATGTTGCCCTTCTCTAAGCCATTGTTAATAGACTGCCCCATGGTCTCTTGTCAATTGTTGTGATCTCTTCTCATGTCGGTGAGGGGTAGAGATGAGTGCCTCAACAATCTCACATAGATAAAAAGTCATACTAAACTTGATGATTTATTCAAGGTAAATATTTAACTATTCGTAGAAAATTTAGGGAGCTTTAGCTTAAGGTTGAACAAAAATGACCATGAGAATTAGGAGACTCAAAGATTGGAAAGTTCAAAGTTGTTGACGCACATTTTGAAAAATGATAAATTTTTAGACATATTTTGAATGTTAGAAATCCAATAAATTTGGAAATATGTTAAAGGACAAAGACTTACTTATGAGAGAGGCCTTTTAGATTGAAAATTAGTTATTTAAACGTTCAAGGCTGAATATTAAGCTCTTGTTGCTACACATCACTGATGCATGATAACACTATATCATCCTTAATAGTTGATTTTAAAAAAAAGACAATTCAACAATCATGATGTCTCAATTTGACTCTAAGGTAACTAGGTAGTGAGGAGAGAATGTTTTGAGTGAAAAGAGAAGATGTCCATAGTCATATTTTGCTTGAGAGGAGCTAGATTACAAAGGAGATGAACTTGATGTGTTTATGGCATCTGAACTCATAAATATCAATATGTAATTGCTAAAATAATTAGTAAATACTAGAGGATAATTCCCTCTAGGATTGGAAGTAACTAGGTGAGGGTAATCTAGTATAAAATTCTCTGAACTTTTTGTGAGAGAGAATTGGGAGGTCTTATTGTACTACATGTGTCAACACATCCGATGACATATAAACAAACTTAAATCCAAAACTCAACAGAAATTTCATGAACCTCAATTCATCCCACTCTTTTGGAGTTTCACCTAGCCCTATAACTCTATAGAGGGGAGGTTGGGTCTACAAATATAAGATAGGTCAACTCCTTTGTAACGTATAATTATTATTTTAATTTTTATAGCAGTTAGAATTTATTTTATATTATATTCTTCTAAGGGTCTTAGTGTATGTTTTGCAAACTCTTTCATAAATTAAAGCTTTTCTCTTTAGAATCACAATTCTAAATGAACCTACTAGACATTTAATGCTAGGTCACTAGTTTAGATTAACAACTTTATATTAATAATTTGACATTGGGCATTAGTTCACTTGCTCTTATTTAATCGTAGATGTATTTCTATACTCATAAAGATTTTTACAAGAAGGTAATAAGAGTAAATCTTATAGCTCTAAAAGAATAAAGGTTCTTTGGGTTGGCTTACTACCATAAAATTCTAAGATTGATTGAATTTGACACATTAAGTTTCCACCAATAAAGTGTGAAAATTTTGTTTCATTTGATAACAAACAAATGCTCAAGTTAATCTATTTTGAGGAAATTCTTTTCATTTTTTCTGCTCACAAAGTCAAAAGATGTCTATCAATAGTAGTTCTAATAGCTATTTTCCAATTACTGATGGTTAATTTGAATATGGTAGTATTCTATCTTCTGTCTTTTTTTATTTTTTAATTAAGTATATTTGACTTCAATATGTGTTGTATCTTTACACAACTCTATTTTAGGCATTTTCTTGGATCATAAAAGATGACAATATACAAAATTGATCTCAAAATTCTTATAACACTACCAAAAGTTTGTAAGTAGATATATTATCATTTCTGCCTAAGAAATATTAAATTAATAAATATTTTAAATGAATAAATTAGTAGTGACTTCATAAGTGAAGAATGTTACCTTAACTGAATAGAACCTTAGCATCTAGGGTAATGGAGAAAAAAGAGTGATAGTAGATTGTATGCACCAAGACTAGTTGATAATCAAAGACTAGTTGTAGAACATTAAATTTCTCTCTCTCTCTCTCTCTCTCTCTCTCTCTATCTCTCTTTGTGGGTCCTTGCTAGGTTATAATCAAAGACAATAACATATGATAAGTTTTTATAGACATCTATTCGACCAAATGGTCTAATTATGACTTGGGGCTATGATGAAATAAATAAGAATCAAACATTGATTTTTATTTTTTAATTTATTACTACAGATCATAAGAGAATGTAAAATAAAGGAGAGGTCACATGTCTTGGCTTTTTTTTATTTAACAATTTTAGTTTCTCTCCCTATATATTATTTACCTTTCCTCTATGACCTTCATGCTCTTTTTTCAAGTTTTTCAAATGTATCAAATG